GTCTTCTCTTGCATTTGTTGTTGAGTGTATGATAGAAGAGCCAGTTCAGCTGTGAAGTCGAGATCGTCCTGGCTGTCTGTTGTACACAGCGCTTTCCTCCAGATGTTGATGTCTTCATAACCCAGTCGATCACCAAGAGAAAGAGAAAGAGTGAGAGTAAGCAACCTTGCATGACACCGGTCTTCACTTCAAACGAGTTTGTCAGCTGACCTTAGTGAACGATTTTGCAGTTAAATCTATAGTACGAATTCCGTATGGTGTTGACTATCTTCTCAGGCACACAGTAGTGACGAAGAAGTCTCCACAGTGTTTTCCTATCCACGCTATCGAATACTTTCTCACAGTCGATGAAGTTGATGCAGAGTGGTGAGTTCCATTCAGTTGATTGTTCCACAGCGAGTTATAAAGATTGTTGTTTATTATGGAAATCATGAATCAGTCATCGTTAGACCACCGTTAGAAAGCTGAAAGTACTGGACTGCCGTTTCGTCCTGGTACAGGAATCATCAGCATTACGCATGATCTCAATGTTAAACAACAATCATCAGGAGTGCGCATACACGACCGCTGTTCACGGGAATCAAAACAATGAACTTCGGAGTAGTGGATGAGCATCACTGAAGAGTCCCATACCAGAACGAAACAGAAGTTCAATGCTTTCAGGTTACCGATGGTGGTCTAACAATAATTGATTCTCAATTAGAGTTATGGAAATTAGTGTTTTTACACATTTGAAATCATCAATCAATCATTGGTGGACCACCATTAGAAACCTGGAAGCACTGGACAGTCGTTTCGTCCTGGTATGGGAGTTCAACCCTCTAGGGTGTAGGCAGTAACTACCAAAGACAAATGGGTAAGGTCACGCAAAATCCCTAGATCAATCAGAGTTAGACACTAACACCGTTGGATGCTGGCCCAGTGGTCCAAAGGTAAGGCGTTCGCGCATAGAACCAAAGGTTCCAAGTTCAAATCCTGCGAGGTGCAAGAGTCGTGGATGCACACAGATGAAGTCCCATACCAGGAGGAAACGCCCGTCCAGTCTATCCAGGTTTCTGATGGTTATCTAACAATGGTTGGTTTGTGCTTTTATATACGTAATAATTGATTCATGATTTCAGTTATGTACAACATCCTCTGTACCTTTATAACGAAAAGGCAATAACAATAACGATTAGTTATATAAGTGGATAGTGGATGACGACTATATCATCCTAGCTGAAACTCGACAGCTGGATGTATTTGCATACTTGAGTTGATACTCACTGTGACACTTCAATCTGATTCTGTTCATTTCAGACGCCGTCATTTTGACCAATTGGGTTCAGATAGCCACTGATTTGTAGTCCTCAACTTTAATAAAAGGCTAAAATAACCAATTCAATTGAATTAAACTTTACTCCATCAAATAAGCCAGGGTCTTTCTGTACTCAGTAACTAAATGGATAACGGCAAGCTGTTTGGAACGAATGGTATTCAGTACGATTCCCGGGATGAACATCAAACCCTGAGATGTAAGCATACGTAATTGACGAGTCTTAGTTAAGAAATACGCATCCTGGATTGGACTGCCGGCCATAATCTATCTATACTAATAATGTTTGTCACTTAATGGCAATTATGGAGGCAACCTTCACAGGACATACACACACACAAAGAAACTGATCGATTACGTTCCCTAACATGAATGTTTTTAAATAATCGCCATAAAATTCATTTATGAATAACGATCAAACAAACAGATTAGATTTTATTTTTTCAAAGATCACAGTCATTTATCGACATTTTCATTAGATGGCCTATTTTTAACATCTAAAAAGTACACCGGATCTCATCTGACATGATATTCATCAACACGTGACTTCATCATCATTGTAGTGACTAGAAATTTCAACTTACTCTAAGGGAATGTTATTTGGATAAACTTTTTAGTTTTAAATGGTAATTTGATTTCATTGTGTCAGTCCCACAGGTAAACAGGCAAGTAGTAGGATATCCGTATGAAGCCCATTGATTATGGTGTTGTGGATACTGCTCATAACGTGGTTTTTTCCGACTTATGCAGCCTATTGTCGCTTAGAGGTTCCTGACAACAAGAAGTGTCTGGAGATCAAAGTCTATTGAAAACCAGAAGAGAATCAATATTATGCTCGTATTGCCAATCTCTATGTTTTTGAAAACAAACTGTGCCTCCTACTTTGATATCCCTCTCGTCTCGATTTGTCCATGTATTACAATAGTACGAAACACTGCACATATACAATTTTTCGACATTATTGTTTCCTTTGGGATATAATGATTGAAGCAATGAAGACTGAGTAATTCTAGTCACATAGCAGCATATATCACGAAATGAAAGCCGCTAAAACGAATACTTTGCAAATTACTTCAACACCAGACTATTTAATGTATGGAAAGAATACCTTAATCCATTCGTCTTCGTATACATAAGCCTTTGAAACCTAATTGCAAGTGAATTATTAAGGGGGATTAACTTCGTCTGGAGTTACTGTCGCTCCAAAGCCCAGATAAATGAAGACTGTGCATACGACTAGAGACTGCATCCCGTAGAAAACCAACTAGCTAGCCTGAAAAAAAAATTATCCGAACCATTTAAACTCTGCCCCTACAGTAGGATGATCATTCTTTAAAAGAGTTAAAACACCTCGTGATGAAAACCGAGTTTCTTCGATGCCGGCAATACATGTAATGTTCGGATATTGTGGGAGACCAGGGGAGTCAAACAAGTAACTACGGAAATGATAAAAGAGAACCTAGTGGTGCCTGGAATCAGTGACACGTATTAGATGCAGAAAAATTATTCTACTGTGCTCCGGTATGAAGTAAATGCCTCACGTATATACATATAGTGGGTTGTACTGTGGCGCTGTCGAAAGAAGCACTGATATGATGGAAATCCCATGGATTTAGGATCGTTAAAAGGGGGAGAGTGCGATGAACGTCATCCAGTCTTAAGCGCCTATGAACTATAACAAGTACTTATTAACAGATGTCTACACGGATCTATTGGCCAGACAGCATCATCAACAACCTACTGTGGCAGAGAACAAACCGAATTCCAGAGGAAGAAATAATACTGGAGGTGGACATAACACATTGAGGATACCATGAAACTACGTCACTTTACAAATTCATAAGGGGGAATCATGAAGGCCAAAGGATGCACTACGCTAAAAATGCGAGAGACATAAAAGGAATAAACAGAAATTGAATAGAAGGCGTCGGACAGAGCAGATTGGAGAATGCTGATCGTCGCCCTATAGTTCACTAAGGGTTATAGGCGTACGTATCACGAATCCTATTTTTGATTATAATGAGAAGTTCAAGAGTCAGCTATTTGCCTTAAAACGATGAATTCTTCAGTTAATCTATTACCTTAAAACACTACTCAACAAAACTGCATTATAGTAGTAGAAAGAATACAGTTTAATATTACATTTTTATTGTTTCGTAAACTTTAATACAACGCTTAATTTATTAATCGATTGTTAGTCAGTCAGTCAGTTACAATGTAGAACTTCGTACGTACATACATACGTCAGTTCAAGTTGCCACACCACAATAGCGCACAGAGACTCAAGTGTCAATTCAAATCTCGTAGTGATAGAGGTATTCGGAAAGATTAAGGTTTGAAGATATTATTCAAGAAGTGTAGTTCAGCGAGATATCTGTAGAAAGAGAAAGATATGGATGCTGAGGAATTTACAAGATTAGGATTTGAGAGGGGAACACGAGTGGAATGCACCTGCCCCATTTTCGAACCATGCCATTCAAGGTCCCTGACCATCGGTCAGTATTGTCTCACTGACCCCAACCCGATTAGCTCATACTTAACAACATGACTCAGTCCACTTGTCAGTGACTTCATGTAGTTGTGACATGTTTTATTCCAGCCGCCCCATTGCTTCCTTCCAACCTACTACACTTTTACACCACAAAAAGATTCCTAATTCATACAAAACATGAACAGTTTTTGTCTAGTAAGTAGTACTCCCCAGTTTTCAATAACCCCTTTGACTGAAATATCAAACTGCCAAGTAATATATGCGCTCTAAATATAGTACACAATCAACCATTTTTTTTATAGGAGCAAGTGAAAGATACCGAGCCAAAAAAAAGTAGAAAGCACAAGAAGGCAATTAATTAATTAATTATTTTGATCCACAATATACCTGCTAAAATAAAATTACATGCATATATATGTATGTATATGCAAATATGTGCGTGTTTGTGTGTCTGCGCGTCGATGTGTGTGTGAATGTGAGTATGAGTGTAGTACACGATGAACACGGTAGTCGTATTAGTAGTAGTAGAAGTAGCAGTAATCGAAGCCGCCGATAACGATGGCTGTCGTTTCTATGGACAGAGTGTGTGAGAGTGTGTGTGAGAGAGACAAAGTACAGAGTAATAATACTGAAAGCGTTCCTTCTACTTCTACTTCAATAGTTTTTCAAATGTCTTTTGACTAATAAGAACAAATGTACTTTGTGGCAACATGAACGATTGAAACGATGCGATGATACTGGCGTAGGATCACAATAACGAAGAAGTACACAAACACAGGAGTAGGAGAAGCGGAAGAACAAGAACAACTTAGTAGCGAAACACGTACAAAATAGGAATTAAACCACGACCGGGAATAATATAAACAATAGTAATAATAATAATAACAGTAATAACAATAATAATAATAATAATAATATAAAAATATATAATAAACAGTAGCAAAAAATAATTAGGTATTTAACGTGAGGGGCAAGAAAAATAATAATCATAATAATAACAATGGTAATAAACCATGGTAGATAATACAGAAAGGCACAGTACAATAATAATAATAACAATAATAATAATATTGGTAATAAACACAAACAGAAGCAAAAAGTTAATAAATTACACAGAATTTTTCTATATACATATACATAAACACTATGTACTTGGGAATTAGAAGATCGAGGCGGGGGGTGCGGTGGGGAGCTCTAGTTCAATAATTCATCCGACACGAAATTCAACAATAGACCATCGACATCCACATCCACATCGATGCCAGCATCGTCATCATCCAGCTCTTCAATTGGTGTTGTATCGAATTCATAAGATAGATGAGGATCATCTTTGAATTTGGATAAAATGTCCAAGTATTCTGGATCGTCTAACCAATGATTATTGATACTGATACCACTACTACTATTAGTAGTATTTAAGTTGTTGTTATTGTTAGTAGTAGTAATAGTAGAAGTGGTAATGGTACTGGCAGGAACGGCAGCGGCGGCAGTGGCAGTCAGAGTATTCCGAACACGATTCGTGGACGATGCAGGAGGAGGAGGAGGAGGGTGAGGTGGTGGCGTAGGCGGCAAAAGATTCGAGTCAGTGTCCTCCTCTTCCACAGCATAATCCAGCGATGCGGAAGAAGAGGATCGTTTGAATTTGGTTGGAATACCAGAGGTAGTGGTGGACCAATTGGTGGAGAAACAATTTCTCACTGTATCATCACGTTCTTCTAAATAATTCTCAGTGTAATTAGATCGATTGGCGAAATTGAATAATTTCCGGCCTTTCATTAATCGATGTGAATAATCTGTCATAGGAGTTGTAGATGTATGATGCGGATGGTGCGGATGCTGTTGATGCTGATGATGATGAGGATGAACGTGATGATGATGTGAACGTGGTAGTAGGAATGACAATTCTTGATCACCGATAGCTGCACGTTCAGCTGGAGTCACTTCGTAGACACCGTCAATGGAACGAGCACTAGAAATGAGAGAATTATAAAAAATCTGTTGAAAAAGTGGGGGGAGAGAACACATTGTGTTTTTATCTTTGGGCAGAATAAACGAACATCAATCATAATTATGATTATTTTGAATATTATGCGGCAAAAAAATTAAATCGAATCACAATGAATCTTGAATAGGATGATATGTTTTGAGGAAGAAAATCAGAAAAACACATGAAGAATTTATATCTCGTGTTGTAATAAAAATCAAAACACCAATAAAGACGGAGCAATAAGAAACAACATAATAACTGTGTTACACATTAGAACTAACTCACTAACTGTGTATACACCTAATTTAATATGTATATATGTATATATAGAAGTGTATTTAATGCTAGGTCAGTCCAAATATCATTTGACCATTAAAGTATAAATAAAGTACATCAGAATCATATGTGTAAATTATTAGTTTTTATTAAACACAAAAATAATAACAACATTCTTTCAACAATAATGAACACAAATTCTATCGGTGATTTCATTCTTGTCAGTCAGTCAGTTGCAACGCAGAACTGCGTACGTATGTACATAAGTCCATGTTGCCATACCACAATAGCACAGAGACGCAGATGTCAAATCAAATCCCATAGTGATAAAGATGGTAGAGGTATTAATGTTATAATAAAGAAGATTAGGGTTCGAAGATATTATTCAAGAAGTATAATTCAGTGAAATAAGGTTAGAAAGACAAAGGTAGACGTGCTGACGAATCCAGAAGATTAGGATTTGAGAGACCTCAAAGAATGGATGCACTTGCGCCATTGCAAACGATTCTGAACCATGTCGTTCATGGTCTCTAACCATTGGCGATTTTCGTCTCACTAACCCCAACCAGGTAGTCCACATCTACCAACATGACTCAGTCCACCCGTCAGTGACTTCATGGATTTCTGCCATGTTTTGGTTTGGCCGCCCCTAGCCTTCTTTCCAACCTGCTCCTACACCACAAAACATAGCTCGTCGAGACAGTCGGTGGTTAGGCATACGTAACACATGTCCCAACCACCTCAACTGATGAAGTTTCATTGCTTCATCTATTGATTTGCCATTCTTACCTAGCACCCGTTTCCTAATAGCAGCGTTGCTCACTCGGTTGTCCCACGATATACGAGCAATGCTTCTTAAACATCTATGATCGAGTACTAGTAACCTACGAACATCTACTCTTAACGGCCATGTTTCGCATCCATATAGGAGAACGGAGCGAACTGCTGCACAGTACACTCGTCCTTTGGTCAGCGAACGGATATCTCGCCTATGCCATAAGTGACGCAGGTTGGCAAAAGCCAATCGAGCTTTCTGTGTCCGTGCTGAGATTTCGTCAGTTACCAGGCTATCAGTGCTGATGAGAATCCCCAGATAAGTGAAGCGATCAACACGCTCGACTACTTCACTCCGTATCACATTTCATTCTTGTAGATTACTAATTTTTGGTCTCGTGTGCTCTAACAGGTATGAAGGTGGATGTCACTTGCCGGCTGCCCATATTGTAGAAGGGTGTTTCTTGAAGAACCTTAAAGGCAAGTGAGATCAGAGTTGGGCTTAGAGACCTGTGAGCGTGACCACCGAGTTCAAGGGACAACTGCTCGAGGTCGGTCACGCACTACCTTTTTATGAGTTTTCTAAGTGTTAGCTTTGCTCTTTTAAAAGTGCCTTACCACCAGAGACGGAAATCCTTAAGGTAAGATGAGGTGTGACATTTTTAACGTCGACCATTTCTAACCTCTTCCTTTCTTGTGAGAAGGCAGCATCGCTGCAGATGCTGGTTGTCCAAGGGAAACACCCAACTGCTATCACACCCCTCTACAATCAGCAGTTCGACTTTGCCCTCAGCCTAGTGCAAGCGCGTATCTGTTTGAGGCTTACAGGACGTAGGAAAGACACCGTAAGGAAGCCTCATAGGATTTTAATGATAATAAAGCTAGGAATATATTTCAGGAGCAACTAGAAAGAGAGTTAAGCAACCATGTAAGCGATTCGCATCCGGAAGCAGGTTGGTATGATATCCAAAAGGCTGTGAAAACAGCAGTGATATCTGCTAGTAAGGTAAACCATAAGGCTAGGATGAAGCCGTGGATCTCAATAGCATCTACCGAACTGATGGATGCTCGAAAACTCATCCCGCCTGGCTCTGAGGGCGATGAGTTTTTAAAGTGTTAGCTCCGTTCTTTTAAAAAGGCTTTACCGCCAGAGATAGAAATCTGTGAGGTAAGGTGAGGTGTGACATTTTAGGGTCCACCTATTCCAACCTCTTCCTTCCTTGTGAGAAGGCAGCATCGCTGCAGAAGCTGGTTGTCCGAGGGAAACACCCAACTGCTGTCACACCCCTCTACAGTCAGCAATACGACTTCGCCTTCAGACCTTGAGTTGTGACTTTTAGTCTCACCGTTCCCCAATCGACCTGCCTGGCATTGTAGAACCAACAGGGACATATGTTCCAGCCAATATAGCTCAGTTGGGTCATCATGATAGACAAGCCTGACCACCACCACGTGAAGGAAGGAGCTACGGTCATATTAGAACCAGATAGTTGTTCAGTGCCGCCTAGTTTTTAATAAATGTTTGACTCACATCAATCTGTGATGTAAAACCATGAAACTTGACATTCTCCATGAACTCTTTATAGTAAACAGAAGAATGTTTGAACCTATAATCATAAGCAGTGTCGACTGCCGCCTTAAGGTCAAGGAATACAACTATAGTGGGACGTCAAAATGTGTGTCTGTGTTTCAGGACATGACGAAGAGTGAATATATGGTCTGAAACCAGCCTGGTTTTCTCGAGGTTGCTCTTTACGAGCCCTAATTAGATGTCGAAGTATTATTGAAACGAATATTTAAGACACTACCTTAGTTAAACTGATTCCTCGTTTCTTATAAATTGGGACAATCAGTGATTGACACCAAGTCAGATGGGATTACATCCAGTTCCCAAATTCTACTCAAGATCTCAAGTCAACCTAATCGCTAAAACTGGATGAGCATCTCAGGCCCTTCTGCTCGCCCTCGCTTCCGATTTTCTTTAGTTTTCACAACTTCGTTAAGAATCAGAGAACTAACAGCAATTCGCCATTCAGGTCGAACAGAATGATAATAATGTGCGAATAAGATATCCAGCGAAATTACAATTACAGTTTATAGAATCATCTAGGGTTCACACAGGATCTCTAAAATCAACGATATAAACATTACAATATTTATTGTTACTGATTAGCTAATTTGTCGAACGCTGAAACAATTCAAAGTAGTATAATCATCTAACGAACAACAAATGGCTTTCAAAATAATTACTTTCATTTTAACAGTAATTTATTTAAACACATAAAAATTGGTACATAAAGGCATCTGAATACTTTTTGCGCTACATAAATTACCCAATTCTTAAGTGGACTGCAATATTGCTCAAGTGCCCAAAAAGAAACAGGTGACCAACATTAGGTAGTCGTCACTCTGAGCTTTTGACCCAGAGGTCTAGTAAACAAGGCAGTGAAGCACCGTTGAGGAGATACGGTCACATAGTAGTCAATGACTAACAATAAGCTCATATGACATTTGTTGTCACATGATTCCGGAGGCGATGTGCACCAGTGGTTTGGAATCAGAGTTTTCCAACTTACCTAGATGGATCCTTCGTACCTACCGCCTACTCGGTTAAAATGCCTAAAATTCGCTTTCTTCTACTTTCTTAATATCACAAACAACATCTGTGCCAAGAGAAGGCAGTAAGTAGGATTTGCCTGGCAATAAAAAGGAAATCGTATTCTGCCCGCTCTCAGCTGTACCACGATATTTGGGAGGCTATATCCTGTTTTGACGCAAATACATACTTTGTATTATAGTAATATGGAAATCGTTGTCTTAACACATTGAAATCATGAATGAATCATCGTTAGACCCCCATTGTCAATCAATCAATTAATCAATAGCAACGTAGAACTTCGTACGTACGTACATCAGTTCATGTTGCCATACCACATTAGCAGAGAGATGTAATTGTCAGAGAAAATCAGGCTGGTTTCAGACCTGGACGTGACTGTATAGACCACATCTTCACACTACGACAGGTCCTGGAACACAGACACACATTTAGGCGTCTGACAAAAGCTGTCTTCCTGGACCTTAAGGCGGCATTCGACTCTGTGGATCGTGAGGTTCTGTGGCAGTGTCTGTCATCAAAAGGTGTACCAAAGAAGTACATTCACCTTATGCAAGCTCTCTACTCGAACACTACAGGTCGAGTGAGAGCTGATGGCGAACTGTCATCGGACTTAGTTATTTCAAGTGGTGTCCGTCAGGGATGTCCACTCTCTCCATTCTTGTTCAATATTGTCATACACATGCTGCTGACATAACATTATCCTCGTCTGAATTTTTAGGAGTGGACCTACCAGGAAAATCGCTTGCTGACTTAGAATATGCCGATGACATAGTCCTACTTGCTGAAGACGCTGACAAAATGCAGTCTTCTGATCACCCTAAGCAACAATGCAAGCATGTTCGGGATGCGGTTTTCCCCCTCGAAATGCGAAATGTTGCTTCAAGACTGGGTTGCATCGGCACCTGAACTAGTGATAGGGAGTGAAGTAGTCGAACGTGTAGATCGCTTCACTTACCTGGGGAGTCTCATCAGTGCTGATGGCCTGGTGACTGACGAAATCTCAGCACGGATACAGAAACCTCGATTGGCTTTTGCCAACCTGCGTCACTTATGGCGCAGGGGAGATATCCGTTTGCTGACTAAAGGACGAGTGTACTGCGCAGTATTTCGCTCCGTCCTACTTTATGGCAAAGACTACCATTAAGAAATCTGGAAGCATACAAAGGCCGTTTTTTCCTGAATGAGGTAGAGCAAAATCTTTAGATTGATCACAGTTAGACATTACACACCGTTGGATGCCGGCCGTCTCAGTGGTTCGTAGGCTAAGTGCTGATGTGCACAACTGAAGGTGTTAGGTTCGAATCTTACGAATAGCAGGAGTGGTGGATGCGCACTGCTGATGAGTAGTCAGTCAGTCTCATAACAGAATGAAATAGTCGTCGTCCAGTGCTTCCAAGTTTCTAATCAGTCAGTCAGATGCAACGTAGAACTTCGTACGTAAGTACATCAGTTCATGTTGCCGAACTACATCAGCAAAGAGATGTAATTGTCAATTCAAATCCAATAGTAGAAGAGGTAGTTAAGGTATTAGAAGTAATCGGAGAGGTTAGGATTAGAAGATATTATTCAAGAAGTATGATTTAGTGAGAAAAGTTTAGAAAGTTAAAACTAGAGGGGTTGAAGAATCTAGAAGATTAGGATTTGAAAGAAGGCAAAGAATGAATGCACCTGCGCTACTGCAAACAGTTTTGAGCCATGTCACACAGGGTCTCTAACCATTGATTATTATCATCTCGCGAGCCCCAAACAGGTAGTCGACAGCTACCAACATGACTCAGTCCACTTGTCAATGAATTCATGGATTTGTGCCATGTTTTGGTCTGGCCGCCCTTAGCTTTCTTCCAACCTGTTCCCACACTACAAAACAAAGCTCTTCGAGGCAGTCGGTGGTTAGGCATACGTAACACATGTCCCAACCACCTCAACTGATGAAGTTTCACCACTTCATCTATTGATCTGCCATCGTTACCTAGCACCCGATTCCTAATAACAGCATTGCTCACTCGGGTGTCCCACGACATACGAGCAATGCTTCGAAGACAAGTCTCTAATGGTGGCAGTCTAACAATCATTCGCTAGCAAGCAACAAACAACAACAAAGCCACAAATAAATCACTTACAGTTTATCATGACGTAATAAATTATCAACAAGTTGTATCATTTTACGATATGTATCCAGTATATAAGGAGATTTTGGTCGTTCCGGCACTGGCAAACCAACACGTACAAATTCTTTTTCAATAACTTTTAAATCATTTAAAGATTTTTCAAATAATGTTAAATTATGCTGTTCTTCACGAATTAATTGATAAGCAATTTGTAAAACTTGTGGATAAGATAATTTATCAATGGATTTTGGACCATTACACTGGCCGAGATAACGTAAATCATCATTGGTAAAACTACACCGGATTAATTCATAGATCACAGCTAATTCACGTCGACGACTACGTTCTTGTTCATTGTGTTCATCACGTGCACGTTTGTCTGGACGACCAGTTGTTGTTGATGATGACGATGATGATGATGATGATGTGGTTGCAGTATTCGATGGATCTTTACAATCGATTTTATTATTATTCAATGAACGAAATGGTTTGGGATTATTACTATTATTGGTAGTAGGAGTAGTAGTAGAAATCAATGAACTTCTTGTAGGATGTTTTGGCATATAAACTGGATCGTCGTCAGAATCATAATCATGTAAAGGAAGTGTTTGTGATGATGACAAGGGAGTGATTAATTTTCGACGTTCTAAACGTGGAAAATGTTGTTTTCGATGCCTGGATATTGGTTGTGTAGACATTGGTGAATTCTAAAAGATAATAGAATTTTATAGGACATCTGAACAAAAAGAATGAAGGGTTAAATTATATTAGTTATTAAAAGTTGTACACATAAACATTATAGCAGGCTAATTCGACTCATTGTTACTAGTGAATAATAGTATAGAATATCTTAAGGAAAATAGTTTATAACAATGTAAGTTATTTATTAGTACAAATCTAAGTAGCCATTTATGTGAAATTATTTATCAGTCTGAACTAAATCCACTGAAGTGAACCACGTGTCATGATACGACTGAGTGTAGGAAGTAAGCTCTCTCCAAAATATATTAATATATCCACTGTTAGGGAAGTCTTACTCACCACATTTTCGTACCAGGAGTATTACTGACAAAATGAAGAGGACATTAAGCTAATGTCCGAACAGGGCTTAAACTGCGTTGATATGTTTGCAGGACTCACCTCACTGGAGTTGGAAAATTTCGATTCCAAATAACTGGTGCACATGAGCTCCATACTTCTGATGAAACAAACACTGTCTATGAAATCATTGATAATGACCGGCTACCATTGAACTACATCTCTTCATGTTGCTCTGCAATCTTGTGGATTCGACCCCAAGGTCTAATGAGCTCGGAGAGTGGCGCTTAATAAAACCACCTCATTTTGTTTGAGTATCCAGAGAGCGTTGCAGACCGTACACAAAATCAATGATTCGTGTGGTTTAAAAATATTTAAGTGCCCTTATGCACCGGTGACTACGTATTTGAATGAATAGATAAAACTTGAGTTCACTTAAGAAATAATCTTACTAAACAAATGATTAATGTCTTATTTCACAATTATGGTAGTAATTATTTCTGAAGAAATTTTCTTCCGTCATTCTGTACATGAAAACGATAATCTCTAGCCAAATTTTTGGTATCGCTTTATTTCCAAATCATCTAACAGCTTGCTTACGGCTAGGGTTCTTTCCTGTGTATACTATTCGCAACGCAGTGACTGATAGAAATCTCAAATACTTCCAAAGAATATAACTACGGATGTAACTTATGTGAAACCACGTGCTCAAGCCAAACTTGTATTCTCCAATGTTCCATACTGTTGCAGATGGAACAAATTTGGCCATATCCTTGAAAGACCTCGATATCGCTCTCTGGGACTCATACCCAGGACTCTAGTGAAGTATTATTAATCCACACTATGTTTATCTATTCGGAAATCTTGTTTCATGTGAGCTTAACTCCATAGGATCTCTGGGTAGCGCTGACATTATCCCATTTGCTTGAGTGGAAGGTAGATTAATCGATTAGATGCCCAAGAACAGTTGTTAGACCAAAAGGCTCCATCAAATTGAACAGGAACTAGCGTAGGAATAGACGTTTTTGGTGACAAATTGCAACCCGGATCCAAACAATGGTGAGTTCCTCTAGCAGTTATATGGTCTGAAAAAGTGCGTTCGACAGATATCGTAGCGCTAGATGGAGATGTTAATGCGTAGGTCAGACTATAAGGCGCATAAGATTTTCTTGGATAGCCAGTGGGGATTAGCTGGTAGTAGGTTAGATGACGACGATCTCTTCCAGAAGCTTAGTGCAGATTATATGTTTCCAGTCAGGACCTCGCTCTGCAGCTTAAATCTGAACTTAGACTGGCCATATCGTGAAAAAATACCACAAGTGTGGTTGTGTACAAGGCTGCATTTCGTTTTGGAGTTTTTTTTACTATAAACGTATATTCGTACGTTATTAAATTCCGTAAAGTTTGTGTAGGGGCGAAGAGGCCAGGTGTGCTGAAGAGCTGAAAATAGAGGTTGCATATTGTGTAACTTCCGGAAAATGTTTGAAATATATCCAGCCACTAGTACAGAGAAGTATGGTGAGACAATCTGTAGATCTGATGGGACACCAATTAAAAAATTAATGTCGTAATGAACGATCAGCAGAGTTAGACTGGTCTGTTGTCCCAACAACATTCATTAGATTGTTCTATCTTGCATGGTCAGTGATGTCTTTACAAATATTGAGGTCCGCAAAGAACTCCAGGAGCGTCAGAAACCACTAAACCTAGACAACTTACCTCTGAAATTCTAGGAAGGACCAAAACCATCTATACTCCACTTTCGATCGAGTCCAAACTGCTAGCTCCCATCATACTTTGCGGATTGTTCAAAACCAATGAAAGATTCACTAGCGAGGAACAGTCTGGCTTTTGTTCTGGTCGTGGAAGTATTGTTTGTCTACTATGCCTTGTAACAGCATTATCATGCTTTTTGCGGACCAACAATTGATTTTTGATTCGAACTTAATTATTCTCGGATCATTTGTTGAACGGTGTACGTGAGAAGTTTAACGTTCGGAAGGCTGTACACAAACAACACAGTGAGCGCGTAAAAAAGCCTTTCAACATCGCCCAACAACAGAAGAGGGGTCGGGCACGTTTTCTCAAGCTCAGCATCGGTAATATTATGTGGACACCTCTGGAGAAAATAGGTATTGGTGTTCCGAAATTATCATCCAGAGAAAGTTCCAAGTATGTATATGATATTATTCTCCTGAGCAATGGATACACAAGCCATCCAATTACACCTGTTTATTTAGTGATTATTGGCAGTACGTATAGCGTGTGCTCTGATAAGGTAGGAGCGGTCAAACAAATATATGGTATTGGTCCATAAAGACATTGACGACTGGACCAGGTAGTGGAAGAAAAATGTCAGTTTAAATTCTATTTTAGTGGAGACTGTAGCAGTATTAATAGTAATCGCAAACACTGAGGATCCAAGATATAATTCGGGAATTATTATCCAGTTAAAAATTTTAAAAGATAAAAATCAATATTGCGGAATTCGTTTGATTTGAATTTGAGAGAAAAAGAATAAATAAAACATTGCAAACGATTTTACGGCATGTCATACAAAGTCTCTAACCATCGGTTATGATTACTTTGCAGGTCCCGGCTAGGTAGTTTACACCTATTATTATGACTCAGTCCATTTGTCAGTAACTTCATGTATCTGCGCCATATTCTGGTTTGGTCAACCCTAGCTGTCTTCCAGTCTACCACTGCCACAACAACATAGCTTATGTGACGGGTATAATAACCGATTTGATCAATGAATATTGAGTGCTCCACAGGTTGATTTGCCCTGCAACCTTAGTACTCCTTTCCTAACCGCAACATCGCTTACACGGGTATCTCAGAATGCACGAGTAATGCTGCGCAGACAACACGCAGACGATATCACCAAGCCCAATCACCAAGTTGAGGTAGTACCCATGGTCAAAGGAAAGATTTGTAAACTGTGATAAAAACTATATCCGTCTTACAAATAACAGAAGACATCAATATGGTGTAGAGATCGTAGCAAAAAGCTTAGAATCAATTTGAGTTGACATGTTTCAAAACTATTATTAACAAAAATTCTAGGGTTATATTTAGTACAATTTTGTGGAACGGTAATGAGGTTTTATTTACCGAATAGCATCAACTACGAAATGAATGCAGTCATAATGAAATAACCAGTGCTTTAACTGCATTAACATTGATTAGCAAACAATTTAGAGAATTAATGGATGGTTGCATGTAGTTTGGTAAATTAACCTTCACAGTATTGATGAAAGCTGATGGTAAAGTCTTGTGAATCACCTGCACTTTGTAATTAAACTGTCACAATTGACTGTCATTAAAACGAACTGCACTGAGACAGTAACTAATCGAGCCGAATACAGTATGCACAACATTCTCCCCAGAGATATTAGGACAGGGAATCTACAAGCATTAGGTGAGCGTTTGACAGGTATTTAACTGATTGCTGGTGACGTGGTATCGATTGGGTTACTTAAAACATTAACGTCTCAGGATAAGTGCAGTCAGGTGTTTATTTCTAAATCGATTTAGGTATATACATCTGATAAAACAAATTCTACATATAACATGACATGTTAGTGTTTTCATAAATACTCGATACAAATAACATTAGAAAACTTAAGTGGTCCTACTATACGTCTTAGAATAATAAATAACCAAAAATATTATGCAAATTACTAACCGGCAACAACGACCGACAACGTGAATGTTTCGAATGAGAGCGCCGTACCGCATAAATTGTAAAATATGTCCAACAGAAGGAAACTACTGACTATGAATAACGGAGGGATGATTGTTCATTATTATCTACCTAACAATGATAAAAAAGAGTCATGAAAATTAGATTTACATACTTTTATTTCAACATTGAATATTCAAATATTTTTCATGAGTTTGTAAACATCAATTGATCTCTATGTGGTATGTCCTTGGTGTCACAAAATGGTATCACTTTGTTGGTATCTACGAGTGATATTTGTCTAAATACTCGGCCGGGAACGAATATGATGGTCATTCATAGGTGCATTTTGTAAGAATGAATGCATTTGTTCAAGGGTATTGAAGATGTTAGAATAAGAGACTATTAAATTAATGTAGAGAAGGGTGGTTGTAAAATGACTAATCATGTTATTGCAGTGCATTATAAAGAACATAAAACAATGGGTGCAACAATTAAATTTAAAGATCACATCAACTGTGTTAACTAACTATTTACTAAGGACAACGGATGAATGAAGGTAACATGAGGTGAAATGGACGATGATGAGACTATGACAGTCAGAACGGAAGAGGTCCTTGATATTTAGGGCCTTGCAACTCTCTTGACTGCCAAACCTTTATAACAGAGGATCGCAAGCCCAAAAATGGCAGAGATTATGCATGTAGGGGTTGTGCGGATTTGATACTTTAAAAGGTATATAATCTGAGCTGACTAGCTGTTGTGAATAATACTCAGCAATATCTGATCAACTTTTCCCACTCCAAGAAGCTAAGTTATGCATAATCATGAATAAGGCGTGAATAGTGATATGTTAAGTTGATTGTTTTTGCCTCTTATTTTTCCTCTTTACAGTCGTCGAAGATGTTATTGCACGTAAAGCAGATACCTGTATTTGTAGGCAGGCAAATTGTGGGAAGAAAACGTGAGCATACACCATGAGACAGAGGAATAAATATACGCACAGAAGGATTTAGTCGTGGTAATATTTTGTGGAAAGATGCACATAATTGTATGTTAGAAATTCATGACCTTTCTTCGATATATTTATGAGCTATATAAACTTTTTTTTATTTCAATATGATAAAACTAGAAAATACTGTCGAATAACTGAAGCGCATGAGAAACGAGACAAAAATAGATAAGCTTCTGAAATGTTCTACACTGGTAGTCTTTCAAAAGCTCTGTAGACCACACAGTTCCTCTGTAGCGCTTCGTTTTGAGCCGGTTATTGGATATTACGGTTGTAACATGTGGTTGATAATTATTAGAGGTCGTAAACCAGCCACTGTTGGGCATTCGGAAAGTCGATAGATAAGGCGTTCCTTTCTACACGGGCGGCTTGCAGCCAGTCTATGCTGATATATTCCTTAGTATTGTTCTTATAGATGGTATAGTACTTAGATTTGCTAAGCCGCATGTTTAAGGTCCAGAATGAGTTAAAACGTACATTAGGTTCGGTGATTGTTACAGGAGGAATCCCACTATATTTCAAAAACATAGATATTCAAGTCGGAAGAATATAAACACGTCTATAAACTGATGGAGTTCGAGTCCCAGGCCTTAACTTAATATCTCGTGTTGAAAGAGAGAAGCAGGGATTGTCCAGAATAAATCAGTGCATCTTCCGGCGGTTTCATGGTATCGAAAGAATACCAAAACGAGATAGAAAAATGGGCGAAGATGCGGAGCAGAAAAGGCAAGATGGTTATAGACGAGATGGAAAGTGAGTTACAAAAATACGAATGAAAAAGTTGTTCGATTAAACGTTCGCTGCCACAGTGGTTTAAAATAATGAGGGTTGCTATTTAACCATTCGTTTTATTCTTCTTAAAAGTGAAATGACTATAGACTATCGGTTAAAAGAACATCTGAGTTCGTTCCAGTATTTGATATTTAGGGGTGTCTCTGGAAGTTCACATAAGTAGTTCTTTACTCTAAGCTGAGACAACTCGGTAAAATCATCTTCACACGAACATCCTACAGAAAATTCACTATCGCGCTATTCAAACTAACCGTCGAAAAATTGCACTTCAAAGAGCGAAACTCAGATGGTGCCTACTATTTTTGGTTGAGTTCAGCTTTAACTTGGAATGCAGTACCCGTCCGAAGTGACCACTCGCACTATAGCGGATAGATATGGTAAAAACTTATTTACACGCTGATTACCATCTCACACTTGGACGAGTCTGATGCATGTCTGGTAAATTATCTGCTCTAACCGTTATCATAAATTTATTCTTACCTCGCTCACTTACATTTTCTTTTCCCCTTTATTCTTATACTTCGGTATTCTGACACTAACTTCATTACTAACTGAATGAATTTATTACTTAGTGAGTTCATTAAACAGTTATCTTTTTATACCTTTAGAAGTTATTATTATTCGGTTAAACTTTGAAGCTCTCTGGATTTGTGCGTGGTAATGTAATAGCTTCTGGTAGCGTTCACTGGTGATGATGTCGTAGAGGATGTCTTACTGACCATTTACCTCTTAAAATCTATAACGGATGCGAGGATAATTCCTGATATACAATACCATATTATAGTTACCCAAAACATCTCAAAGGAGTTTCATCAGACGTTCTTTTGAGGAAGAAATACTGTGCAAGCAATCCTAGAAAACACGGACTCTGAAAATGCAGCGATTGATAATTAGTTTATTGAAATAGCCCATGGAGCTGCCAAATTTTGAGGAACGGCTTTAATCTAGATAACACGCCTAATGTGATGTTCTCACCTTCACTAATTAAAGTCTCAGTCCTATAAAATTGGGAGCTGGCGAATATCACACAGAGTTTGAAAGGAGGCCGACACAATGAAACTTCAAGCTACAGGTCGGTGACATTACCATCAATAGTCATGGAGTCCTTGGTAAGGACTGTGTAACTATCTTTTATACATAAACTTCTCTCCTCCTGAACAAAACGGTTTTTAGAATAGGTACTCCTATTAACCAACCTTCTGACTGCAATGGATAGAAGTGTATCCATCTCCGATCTCAAAGAGAAGGTTGACTTCCGAAAAAATCTTGATAGCATGAATTATATATGTCTCACCAATTTGGCAATACTGTTAGGTTTAAAGATTCCTCTAAGAGATTTGTTTACGTCATGTATGGTTTAACAAATTTTGTGCTTTAGAGGGGAGTGTGCAGTCACTTTTATAAGCTTGTTCTCAGGAGGGTCTGACTTAACCTTCTAGTCGGGCTGATGATAACAGACTAACTTTTAACACTTCAAACTGCAAAGTAGTCCACCTGAAACTCGCTGCAGACTATGTATACAGTGTAAGTAAATCTCTTTGAGAGATGTCTTAAGTTGAATAAATCAAGCGTCTTGAAGTCCTTTGGTAAAGACTTTATGAAAACATCTTTCTAGAAAACTGTTCACCAGTAACGTTAAGGTTCATTTTTGCTGACTGTAGTAGTATAACCTTCAACGTTCACCTCAACATACATACATACACTTCATAAATACAGCCTTTGGTCCCTCAAACGGAAAAGATTACAATACTCTGGAACGTATCTGAAGGTGAACCGCAAGAGCGGTTAGAGGACTAGAATTCAAGACATATGAAATGGATCACAAAGCAGTGGGTCTTTAACCGTTGTAATATAAGCATCTCAAATCTAAACAATCCTGTACAACACCCAAAACAATCACTTAGACTCGGTCTCAACACAAAAACTGGAGGAAATTTTTACAAACCAGAGGTCCAGTATAGCGTAACGGACTGCATGTACACCACCTTCTATTAGGGTAGTAAAATTCTAGTATTCAGTAAAGAGATTTCTCTTCAGTAAGCCAACAAGGAACTTGAAATTTCCTAAAGGACTCAAAACAGTGTTTCATAATATTTTACCGGTGCCTGTCTCCTACTCTAACCTAGGTTCCTACTTGAAGGCCTCGGTGATCCACTGCGAGTTGTTATTATCGCTATTTCCTCAGATCAGTATTTCTCTTCCACCTCCTTTGCTTAACTCCCTGTCCACTAGCACCATCTTCACTAATAAGTGATCACATTATTCAACGATTGATTCAATGTGGTCTGAAATTTCATTAGAATTAGACATTTCTCCTTATTATTCTCCGCATTGCAACCAACTGATATGCGTGGTGACGTAGTATTCAGAAACCATACTCACCTTGAAACAAATGCACCTTTAGAATTCACGGGATATAAAAGTCCGAAAATAATTGCCATAGAGTACCATGGTCTGGACTCTGCAAACTACTTAGTACCATGCCGAAAGAACAAGAATTGAGCGTGAATAGGTTAATTGGTTGACCATGAAAAACTATATCCTGAAAAAGATATTGGATGTATTTAACTGCTACTAGATATGTCAGCCTGTTCAAAACCGATTGAACCATTTGAACCGCTTGAGCTCAGAGAAATTGGATATTGGAAACATGACCTTCACATATTCAAATTTTCAGAAATACTGATGCGATACTTATCGTTGTTATTGTATGTCTATTAAGTTGTTATTATAGTGACCGCTTAGAAGTTTTCTTCTTCTTTATTCTCAGTGCAAAGTTGGTTATCTTGCAGTTGGTGATCCCAGTGATTTGAAGAATGTCGCAGAATCGGTTATTGACAAGTGAGTAGGCTCTATTTTGTTTTCATATTTTATTGATAGATCGAAATCTCACGACACAAAGAATAGTGTGAAGTAGGTTCAATTTTTTACTTTTATTTTATATGTGGTTACAGTTCTAATGAAGAGGGTGTTCAGATTGATCGCAATTATGAGGTGAGTTTAGCGGAATATTTTATTTCCTATTGTTGACTTAGTTGCTGTTTAACTTTTTGGTGAAATGATATGTCCTACGTAAAAATTGTAAAGTTGGGTTAGTGTTTCACGTTCTCATAATCTCTGGTAGTTCAAACGTTTTTGGGGTGCAGATTTCACACTGTTCTGTAAATCCTCGGTGATACGCAAATTCGTTTATAATATAGGTTTTTACTTCATTTAAGCAAACTGTAATTTTAATGATTATTGTCTCAACCCAACATGGGTTGTGTTTGGTCAGAACCACAGTGATAAAGTCGAAGAAAAAGCTAGTAAATAAAATAAAACTTGTTAACTTCTTTGGTAATATTATGATCCTGCGTCACTAATATATTTATTTGACATCCTCATCCTACGAATTGTGCATGAGTAGATTTTTAAGCGTAACGTTTCACATGATTTACCTATTTCCATTGATATCCATTTTTTATATCCATTTTTTAATTGATGAAAAATCGGTTACATTTAGACACCTACTAATTCGATAGACGAAGAAAAGGTTGGGATTTCCAGTCACCAAGTTTCCTCTGAGCCTCTGGATTCACCAAACAGCCAGAAATCTTATGGGGAAGGTTCAACACCCGAAGATTCTGTGTCTCACCCGACACACCGAGACTCAGCTAAACCTGATCACGAAGTTGTTAGAGAGTCTATTTTAAAGGAACTGCATTCATTGGATTCGGTTGCTGTAGAGGGTATTAATACACATGAAATTCCAACTTTCAACGAATTCCATGCAATGGTTTCGGAAGGTTCACAATCACGTAAAGGGCAAGGTTCGTGTGTTCTAATTCTGTTTGTTAATTACCAAATTTTCATGAATATGACGTACTTCGAAAGCCTGTATTGTTATTGGTGTATTAGTTAAATTTTAGATGTGTAAATTCTTTTCGGTAACAGGAAAATAAAACAGTGAACACGCGAAGGGTCATTTTGCGCTGCTTGGTCACTAGACAGCAACTCGTGTTATACTTGCCTATATAGCGTTGGTCGAATTTTATATATGAAGTTAAGTTGAGACGTAGTCACTAGTTTGAGTCACTCAAAATTGTGTATATGATATGATATTGATCACACGATTGGGGAGTCTGTGCTAATCTGTCTTACAACAAACCTGTCGTAGTTCAAACAGTTCAGTATTGTGACGTCTTTGGCACCGAGCGAGTTCGGATTCGGGATCACCGATAGAGTTAAGTTCCACAAGACTAAGGTTGTGCCTCACTGACAACAGCTGACTAACGTAAAAATTATGGGTACATGTTTTCCTTCATGTTGATTCCTATCACTCTATGTCATTGATACAACACGGCGAAATTTAAATCTGTTAGCTACACACTAATTATGTTTTAAATTCTGTATCTTCCAATCATTTGCGTTTTAAATGAATTCTAATCATTCTTTTGAAGCAAATAAGCATATTATTTTTCTATCGAAAACCATTAACAGTATTAGGAGCAGATGTCCTGTGTTCTGTTATCTGTTCAATTGTAGGCTCACATTGGTAATTCAATCCTATAAGAAGTTGTTTATCCACCCACATTATATCGTTGGTTATCGTCGATCGGGACTTTATTCATGATTTCAATACAGTCTCTAGTCTAGAACACAGTTTTCCACAGTTTCCTGAACATAATGATAT